TCCCAGAGTTCCTCAGCCAGCAAAGCTCTGGGTGTTGAAGTCCACAAGTCTTAAAGTTGCCAAGGTTGGAGACCCCTGATCCAGGTCATGGTTGTCCCAAAGGTGCTTCTCCCCACCCAAAAAAAGGCAACTGGACTGTGTTTTCTTTGAAGAGGTGTCACTTCTCATCCAAGACGCTTCTTCAGCTCCCCCACCATCCTAGTCAGAGCTGAAGAAGCGTCTTGGATGAGAAGCGAAATGCCTTCAAAGAAAAAACAAGAATGGCCAGTTGACTCTTGGTGGGGGTGGGGGGAAATAGCACCCTTGGGACATCCACTTCCTCAATTCTTAATAGCTAGGGAAGGGGGGAAGCACCACGAGGTGATCCTCCCCATGGGAACAAAGGCAGGGAGCAACCGGCCCATCTTCCTCTCCCCCCCCAAAGCTTGCACAGCCAAGAGCGGGATTGGGGGGGGCGGGGGGGGCCGTCTCCCCCTCCCTCCCAGCCTCCGGGATTTGGAGTTCGGCAATGCCTTTTGTGGGACCCCAGGTCTTTCCCTCTTGCTACCGGAGCGTTTGGGAGGGGGAGACCGCACTTTCCCCCTTTCCTTGCAAGGACTGGCCGGGGAGGGTCTGCCTAGGGCTGGAAGGGGGGGGTGTCCTCTTCCCCGGGGGGAGGGTCTGTGTCGCGGGATCCCCTCCTGCCAACCTCCCCCTCCCCCTCCCCATCTCGATTCCCAGGGCTCAACTCACAGCTGGTCCAAACCCTCCAGCTGGACTCGGTGCGGAGCATGCGCAGTGGCGCTCGATGGCGAGCGAGCGCCCCCTGGTGGGTCCTAACGACAGCCGCACATCTCGGCGCGATCGCGGCGGGGAACCTTAGAGGCCATCCAGACCGGCCTCCATTTAGGGCACGATGTCAGTTTAATGTCATTTTGGGAGCCCACCGGTTGCACCCCTGGGACAAACTTCCCTGGCCACCATCCGTTGGCTCTTCACGTCTTGGTGAATCCCTTTTACCTCCTGTTCTCATGTATGCATCCGAACTAGTCTGTGTTGTTCCTCTGTGTCATGTATGTGGGTATATACATAATTTTGTATTTATTTATTTAGTCATGTTTACGTAGTGTAAAATTGGAGGTGGTGACACTTTTAAGAGCTGTATGCAACGAAATTTCATTTTTAATGTATGCCAATTAGTGTATATTCAAAGTAACAAAGTTATTCTCTTCTATTAATTTTATTCTATTCTAATAAGGTTTTTATATATTGCGGCAATGTTTTCTTCTGCATTTGGTTCAATGTCTGTAAAGCCACTTAAGAGTAGCGCTCGACAAAATGGGTAGCATTTAAATTTGATAAATATCCAGGAATTGAGGCCGGGGCTCCTGCCATGTACATCCCCAGATGTTCCCCTCAAATGTTCACCCAGATGTGGCCACCAGATTTTAATTTGGGATAAGTCAAAAGAGGAAAATGTCTATGGAGAATCTCCGTTATTCAAGTCATGGTTGTCCCAAAAGTGCTTTTTCCCCCCAAAGAGGCAACTGGACTTTCTGGTTTCTTTCTTTGAAGACATTTCACTTCTCACCCAAGAAGCTTCCTCTGCTCTGACCTTCCCCACCATCCAGTCAGAGTGGAAGAAGCTTCTGGGATGAGAAGCGAAACTTCTTCAAAGAAAGAAACCAGAAAATCCAGTTGCCTCTTGAAAAAAAAAGGCCCTTTGGGTCAAAAGAGAAAATTGATAAACACATGCTGGCAAATCTTCATTAAACTTGATCCAAACTGAGTGTAAAGATAAGTGGAGATATTCATCCTGAAACCATAGTTTCATTGTCTTATTTTTTTTATTTAATACTGGTTTATTTCTGTGCTGGAAGAAGCTGCGCTTGGAGCTGTCTTAAGGGCGCTGCTGGTTCCCATTAAAGAAACCAACTTTGATTAAAGAATTGCAACTTTCCCCCAATTCTCCGCATTCAGATTGTTGCACAAGGTTTATACATGAAGCTGCTTTCAGTCTCGGCATCTTCCCGCAATTTTCCCAGCTCTCTTTCTTTTCCACTTTCGGGATTTCAGCATATAGAATGAGTAGAGTAGAATATAGAATAAAATAGAATAGAATTCAATTCTTTATTGGTGAAGTGTGATTAGAAACACAAGGAATTCATCTTCGGTGAATAAGCTCTCAGTGTACATACAATAGTGAGGGGTCATTTTGATAGCCATTGTAAAACGGCATTCATCATAAAACATAAATGGAGAAGAGCCTTATGGAGAAGATTAAGGAGTTTCTTCTTCATTCTCTCGTTTGACAGGTTGACATCCTGGCTTTTTTTAAAAAATCCCCACCAATTCCAGGGTGTCCTCTGCCACTCCTTGGTTGGGTCTCCTCTTTTTCAGCTGTAGAAAAGCCTCCATCCTTTTTGGAAGGAGATTAAACTCCTTCCCTCCTCACTTGGGAGCCCAAGTGATGCACCTCGATTTCTGCACACCGTTTAATGTTCCTGCTTGAGTTTGCAAAAGTTTGGGATCTTCGTTCCCCCCCTGTATGCAAAAGGAATCCGGAGTCTCCCCCGCCTCCCAGAAGTGGGAAGAACTGGCGCGGATTTCACGTCCTCCATTCCTCTCTTTGTCTCCGTTCCCACAAGGCGGCTCTGCACGTGTCTTGGGGGGGGGGCTCCCGAAGTACCCGACTTCTCGTGCGAAAACGAAACGGTTACAGCGAGCGAGCGCGGAGTCCTAGAGGGGCCAGGCGTTCGGCGAGGTCCGTTGTGAGGCGCGCATGCTCAGTCTGCCCTCCGTGCGAGGGGGTCGCCTCCTCCCGTTGTAGTTACTGTAGGGGGAAACCAGCAGGGGAGGGGAGAGAAGGGGGGAGAGAGAGAGAGAGAGAGAGCGAGAGCGCCTTCTGGTCACGTGGGCTTGGCGACCCAATGGCGGGAGAGAAGCTCCTGTCAGGTTTGGGCGGGAAGGGAATCGCTGGTTCTCGAATCTTCATCCTGCCTCTGAGGGAATCTCCTGGTGACCTTTATTCGTGTCCCCTCGGAGAAGAGACTTAGGAGTCCTTGGTCGTCACA